TTTGGATAGAAATTGGATATATGATGATGGGTGCTATTCCTGCTCAGATGAATATACATGCGGAGGGGAGAAAAAGTGCCTAATATTCGTCATAGATAATGGCTGTGGTAAATGGAGAGTTCGATAACAAGGGTGCAAACTTACAAATTGAATTCCAGTGTCATTGAGGATTCCAACCCTTGCTCAAGCAAAGTAGGCACCATTAAGCAGCTTTTGTCCTCTGAGCTCTGGACTCAAGTATGGTAATGGGGGTTTTGATAAACCAATTTATTGGCCTGATGACAAGCACATAAATGACTTAAATATGTCTACATGTTCAGTGACAACCAAACAAGATTGAAAAGTTAATTCAAGTTGGAACCTAACTAAGGAGGTCTGGGATGATAAGGCAATCAGAGAAATGTCCCGTTGGTCTGCTAGTTGGGTAATCAACTCCATTAGTGGGAGAATCCGCACGAGCAGTTGTCACAAGGTACTTGTTGTTTCCACTATCAACAAGTGAATCACCAAATACGAAGAATGCTTGAGCTTCAGCTTGGATAAATACAGCTTCAAGAGCGAACAGCAGGCCTATAACTATCCAAGAATTGCCTACTAATGAAATAGCCATTATCTGAATTCCTCGTAATCCTCTGACAGGCTCTTAATAAACCTTTTGCTTCTATCGAAAGAGATTTCTTGGAGGCAGACTGGGAGAAATGGAAGGTCTTAAATTGCTTCTTGACTTCTGCAATCACTCTGACAAGTGAAAAACGCCCCCAAAACAAAGGCAAGTTAGTATTGGTGGTTGTGTATATGGCACAAGTAGTACTATATGCATGCAATTTAAGGAAATATTTAAGTTCATCATAATTTCTACTTCTTTAAGCTATGATGAAACTTCATAGAAAAGATCTACTAACTGTTCCTAATAGAGACATTGATTTCTTATACCAGAACATGGTGATCAAACTTGCCACCATGCTGGATCAATCTGGGATAGGCAAATTCAATATTCATGTTAATATTGATTAGCACAGAAAAGCTTCTGCGACCGACACGATCAGTATCTGACAATTGCCTGTTCCATCATTAAGCAATTGGGCGAGAGTAAAGTCCCATGTAAGTCATTCATGATTCCAAATAATATGGCATAACATCAAACAACTCAAGAATACATTTCACTCTGTTAACATCATTCAATCATCAATTCCAGAAAATTTCGGTTTTCGAACTTCTACCTAGGAATCAAATGTTTCTACCCAGATTGGTTTAGCCTAGCGAATTGACTTGAGACGATACATTAATCTATCTATAAATTTAGTGTACGAAACCAAGGTGTATAGTAGAGTTTACAGATTCTTTGTCATCATAAACAAAACCATACTGTTCTAAAATCTATTCACATGATCTTCTGCTTGAAGCGTGCTTGCTTGACATGCATAATCAGGTTTGTTATTTATATCAAAGCTCAGACATTTTTTTTCTAGAACAGGAGAGTTTGAGCATGTTGTCTTGGTACATATATAGTAAGTTTTGCTTTTCCTTGCTATGAAAGGTGGACAAAGAATCACATTTCATAACATTTTGGTTGTTCAAAATATTCCATTTTCAACTGTCATACTTATGATCATGATAAAAGCAAATGAATCTTGTAGTTCCATTAATTAAGTACTGCTTCCTATTTGGATATACTCATTTAATAGAGAAGGAAAAAGTAAAGCACTTTTTAGCTTTGCTTCCATGTGATAAGTGTAAATGGTTTTTGCAGTTGAATTGTATTTAATACCCCAAACCACCCAAAGAATTATTTCCATTGCACCGCCCATAGTTATCTCATTGCAAAGATCAAAATACAATAAATACTTACATCCAACTCCAAGCAATCAAAAAGAAATCTTGTATGTATTAATTTTACCTGGCAAATTAATTAGTATTTGCACATGTTTAGAACCAAAAGTAGCTGGAAGCTGATGTTCTTAAACCTAATTAAATCATTGAAAAGATCCATTTAATTAAATTGTTAACCCAATCCACAAGGCTTACACCAGTTGGTGAGGGAGGAACCCCTTCTTTGTCGACCAAGGTTTGATTTCTTTGAGAAACATTTCGAGAGTAAAATCTTAAGTGTACTATACCGGATGTGTAAATCGGCCCTTAACTCAAATAAAACTTGTAAATAACATTGATCTTCTTATAAAAAACCTCTATCCCCTGTTTCATTTTTTGCTAATTAACAAAGGGTCTTTTAGTGGGAAACTGGGAATCAATAATCCCGGAAGTTCTCTGTCTCTTGCTCCTACTTAAAACTGAAAATTTCATATGGTGGTGGGGTACATAGATATGATAATTCGTATATTTATATAATATAAAATATTAAAATTCATATATTTGTATAATATTTTACACAAAAATTTAAGTATTACAATTCATGATAACACAAAAACATTATATATATTTTTTTATTTTGTTAAACTCATATATAATTATTGTTAAAATTTTAAATTATATTATTTTCATATTTTATTTTTATATTAAGTTATTATATTATTTAAATTGCTAGATGTACGTTCAAGGCATCAATGGGCCTTGCCATAACTGGAACACTCAACTTCGGACGCACCAGGTTAGGAATGCAAGGGTTTGGGGCCTATCTCCTGGCATCCATTTCAATTTTCACACACCAAAAAAGGGTTTTGTCTCCTTTTGCAGTTTTGCCTTTCTGGGGAGTTAGTAAATTCTCACAATATACTTGCACCAACAACTGTTACCTTCAAATTCCAAATTTAACGAGATTGCATTTATTGCTTGACAACATCACTATTTCACTTCAATTGTATTTTATAAATCTATCTGCCAACAACCAAAGTCCTTACCAGGAACAAAAGACAACAACAACAACCCAACTTCACTCTAGCATTTCCTTTTTTATTTTTCCCAGCTGATTCATCACTACTTATAGTCAAATCATCCAGGTCTGAAATTGTACTCCTATTGCTTTGTTTTCATCATTTAATGCCTAGACAAGATCCTTTAGTTACTAGTACTTAGTAGTAATATTCTTTATGAAGTAAATATTTCATATACATGCAGTCTCTATATTCTACTACGATTCTTATTTTTTGCTGTATACAAAAAATAATTAACCGAAGGGTTTCATTTCTCCAATTGTAAGTAATTTTTCTTCTCATTTTTCTGACCCAAGAAATGGAAGAATCCAAGTTTTACATTTGTTAATGTTTAGGTCTAAATCATCGATTTGAATGAGAGATACTACTCATCCACTAGTCATAAATTTGGCTTAATATAGTTGAAAATCCCTGTCCCTTTAGGTATAGTGTTGAAAGAAGGAAAAACTATCAAGCAGACCAAAGAAAAGTTGAGATCTGCAAAATCTCAACATTCGGTTTTCAATTTCAATCTTTCTAAACAATTTTTATGTGAAACTACCCATTGTGAATAGCATTTTGTGAATAAAATCTTGAAATACATCATACGTATATGGTGCAATAATTTTCATGAAAATATAAAGTTTGACAGAAACTAAGCAAAAGATCATCATCCAGAGTAGATGGCAAGAATTTAATTGGAACATTGAAGTGATGATGAACTATTGACTCGTTCAAGACCAAAAACATTAAATATGAAACGCCATTCACATCGTACGCATTAGTCGACGTTCATCCCTAATGTAGTAACCAAAAGTAATGAGGCGCCGCATTGGTCGATAAGGTTGTTTCTTTTTCCCTCGTAAGAGTGAAGCTGTTGAATGTTGAATGCTCAGTTATGAATAAAGATGTTAATTTTATCCAAGAAATTCGATTTTTTATTCGAATGAAAATGAGAATGAATATTACATTATGAATATGATATTAAGCTTAGACAGGGGTAGGCATCTTAATTTTAGGCTGAACCATAGGCATTGGAGCCAGCCTGGAGCAGAGTTTTGTGGTTGAATCTGAATCTCCTTCATCCAAGTTTGAATATCCCTAAACAGTAAATGATTGGTTGCCACCATTGAAAAGCTTATGGTAAAGGAGTTTTATGTTTATCTTTCAAGAAAGTTAAATTTAGATTTATCTTTCAAAATCATTGAACAATAATTTCATTTCCAAAATTTAAAAAACAAAGTATGAAAATGGAAAATTTTTCTCTATCATGCAGCCGACTAGTCATCCACTTTCCTCGACTCATTAAAACCAAACCTAGTCTATTTCATAGAACGTGCTTAGTTTGAAAATATGGGGTGATGATAAGGACAAATATATTATGGTACGAAATGTAATTAATTAAATTAATATAATCTTTTTTATATAAAAAAATCATAATTTGAAAATAAAAAATTAATTAATATAAATTAAAATTTTATATTTATTAAAAATTATCTTTAAAAATGATTGTACAAATTAATTATTCAAATTTTGAGTTTGGACTTATAATTATACCCAATTCATGAAACAAAATTTACCATGCAAAAAAGATTTTGGGAAAATCTGAAATTTAAAATAAAACCATTGAAAACTTAAAATAATTTCGATATTGACTCCTTAAACTAGCTTATTATTGTTGGCCAACAAAGAACAATCTAGCTTATTATTATTGAGACGATTGACAAGTGCTCATTTATAACAAATTTTGATCTAATGAATGCTAAACAGCAAGTTATTGTTAATTTCAATGTATTTCCAATCTTATTCGAGTGAGATTGCATGTGAGGTTTATTAACTAATATATGATTAGACTCGAGAGTGACATGAAAAGTGTAAAATTTTATTTACTCAATCACTCTTTTCAAATTTAAGCAATAATTATTTTTGGTATTTGTAGTCGACGGGGACAATGACAATAAAATGTAATTTAATGAAATTTTATGAATGATTTTTTTCTTATCGGATTAATTCAAATAAATAATTAAAATTTTGCGAATTTAAAAGGATACCATATCAATTTTTTTTTGTCACAAGAAATGATCAATCATACATGGAGGCATAATATGGAAAACAAATTGGGGGCTATTTAATTACTTAATTAATTATGTAAGCAGATTGAAACGTTACATTACAATTCATTAAGGAAATAATTCCAACCACTGGAACAACATATAATAATCAAACATGTCTGGAAAAACATCAAACTACAATGGTATAACACAAGCTGTTTTCTTAATTATCCTTATTAGAATGTACCTAAGTCCTGGTGTTGGTGTCCAAAGCCAAGAAGGAGCTGAGATTCATGGGGCTCATGTAATCTGTAGAACCACTCAAGATCGAGTCAACAATGATCTTATTGGCCTTCTCAGATGGATGGAATGGATCCCAGAAAGCATACAGGTTGCGATTGGGGCACAGATTTGATGCCAAAGTACATAATCCCAGACCATTGTAGGGTCCTTGGCCACAGCATGCTATCTTTGATGTAGTAAATCCTGCAAAGAAGAAGTATAGCATTCAGCTGTTCCACATTCATGTTAAAAATAATGACATGACATGGTTTAGTTCATCTCCTTTACTAGTTTTTATAATCTTTTTGCTTGTTGATATTATAGGGGGGCAGAGGGGAAGTTTGGAGCAAAAGCCAAAATCTTTGGTAGCTTTCATCATAATTTCATAGTGATAGAACTTGGGATTAGGTTGATATAATTAAATGAATTTTGGGTACTTTGGTTTAGGTCAACAAAAGTCACACTTTTTGGTTGTTCATATCCTTGGCCCCTATCTGCAGCATGTCCCTGCCTTTTTGTCAGTTCTTCCCAATCTTCTCTAATTAATGGCTCATTCATTACTCTTAATTGTTAGTGTTCCTTTTCGATGTGACAAAAATATAGTAGAATTACTTCAGATAAAAAGTGATCAAATATTGAATTATGGATTTACTTACCATAGGCTCCAGGGTTACTAACAAAATTATTGCTTTGTTGACGCGTATTAGCAGCAATGAAAATAGTTGCACCTAACTCGCTATTGAGTCCTTTTATCATTTCAGTCAGTTGAGGATCAAACAAGGATGCAGCTTGTTGCAGCTCGGAATCACACTGACCATTTGAGCTCCTCATGGCCAATTCAGCCGGAACACAACCCAACGGTCCGGTCCCGGTCACCAAAACCTTCCGAGCTCCTAGTACATATAGTTTCTGCAAAATAATTTGTTACAGTTTTGATGTATATTTTTTATGTTACCATGTAAGTCACTATAACACAAATTTGAAACCAAGGGGAAGAAGTTTACCAATAGAATTTTTCTGTACTCAGAGATGAGATATTTAACATAATCTGGTAGACTGTATTGGCGAGATCTTGCAGAGTAAGGCACTAAATAGTAGTTGTTCACAAAATCATTGCCACCGACAGTGATGAGGACTAGAGCATCGCTTACAATCCGCTTTGCTTTATCTTTTCCGACAAGGCCAGCCAAACGGCCCTGGTATTCTTTAAAGTATTCTAATTGATTGAACATTCTTATAATGTTTATCTGCCAATGTATCATTTGAGAAAAAGAATTAGCCAAAATGGGGCTTGGACAGTGCCACATTGCCATGGAACTGTAAACGGATTTGAGAGGATTGAGAAAGAATTTCAGGACTTACAAATTGGATGCCAGTGTCATTGAGGATTCCAATACCAGCAGAAGCAAAGTTGGCGCCAACAAGCAGCCTATTTCCCCTGAGTTCTGGACTCAAGTATGGCAATGTTGGCTCTGAGCCAAGTGCATCACCTGTTGTATATATAGACACATTAAGTCAAATTCAAGTAACATGATACAAACAGCATTGAAAATACAACAAGGGTAAAAAAAAAAAAAAAAGAAAGAAGACAGAAATCCCAAACTGATAAAATCAGGAATATTTTTGCCATTTGAGAAGCGGCCTGTGGGGAGACGACTAGGAGTGTCAATGCCATAAGGAGGTGAATCAGCTCTAGCAGTGGTTGCAAGGTAATTGTTGTTACCATTGTCAACCAGAGAATCACCAAATACAAAAAATGCCCTGGCAGCCTCAACTCGAGTAGTTGAAATTGCTATGACAAGGCCTAAAAGTAAAACCATCCATGAACCAAGAGCCACTGGACTTGCCATGGAAGAGCAGAAGGAGAATACACTAAAGTATTTGTTTATTGGAGACTTTGTCCCTTGCATGTAAATCAAAGAATAGGCACTGCTTATATATAGGTAGGGGTTCTTGTCAAAGGAGAAAAACATGGCCTATAAAAACAAAAGCGATGGAGTACAGGTGTTGTGATTGGCAATGCTATGAGCTCACCACTGACCCCTTCCCCCCATCTCCCCCTCATTGAATCATCCACATCTATTTTCCTAAATTAATGAATATATTTCTATGTTTTAAGGCTTGCAATGGTCTTTGGGTTAGATTTGCCATAAATTTCAAAATGGTAGGTTTTTTCAACTCAAATCTATCCTTTTACAACAGTTGAACATGAAAATGTTGTACAAGATTAATTCCCATAATATTTCGGCTTTCATGTGCTTAACTTTTACAATCCTTGAAAATTTGCTTCCCAAAAATTTGATCAGTCACTTTCAACTGCCCCATATTTGTTCATATGGTTTCAAATGGTGGCAGTCATTCACTATAGCTACTGAAATGGCAGCAATTGGTTTGTGATCATTGTTCTAACAATTTAATATCTATCTTCAATGCTATTAACTGAAATTCCTATGATATCAATTTACTGCTTACTGCATTTTCTTTGGCACATTATTAATCTTCCAACATTCATATCACTCCTCGTTCACCAAAATATTTACTTAAAACTTTTATTTTTGAATTTTTCATTTGAAAAAGTAAATCAAATTCTACTCTTTAAATAAAGAATAATGGATCAACTATTGAATCAGATGTTATTTTTAGGGGTTTTTAACCTAATAATGAAGAAGCTCATCTAAAATGAGATTAATTTGGAATTGAAGAGCTATAAGTTCAGAGTGATATTGACATTTGGACCGAGACTAGAGAAATTATTTGTGATAGATCTTCATTGGTATTCACCCACAAGGTACATCAACAGCTTATTTGGATTTTGGATAAAAGCTGTAAGTTCACGGTGACATTGACATTTGGTCCGAGACTAGAGAAATTATTTGTGATAGACCTTCAGTGATATTCACCCACAAGGTACATCAACAGCTTTTGGGATTTTGGAAACCCCCCCCCCCCCCCAAGAAAAAAAAAAAAAAAAAAAACAACATGACTGCCATTGTCGGTTTTAATTGTTGTGGACCTGTCTTGTTTGTTGGGTTTTCTTCAAATTGGCATTGTCGGTTTTTATGCAAAAATAATACTGCTCCTTCTTTCTTGACATTTGGCTTATAGAGATATTGAAATATCTAATTACATTTTTTTTACAAAGATGTCATAATTTAATAATTAAAAAATTATAAATATTAAAATTTAAAATTATTAGATATCATTTATAAAATTTAATTCGTTATATAATTGTTTTTCAAAAATAACATTTATTAGATTCAGAATTCAATTTTTATTAACTACAAAGATTTATTTTATGCATATATATATATATAAAGTTTGGATTCGAATCTTAATTGAGATTTGATATATTTAGGTAGATTTAATTCAACAAATTGACCCTTTTTTTTGTTGGTAATAAAAGGAGATTAATTTTCTACAAGGTTATTTATCGAAGGGATGAAAAGATATATATAGAAAGCCCTTGATGAAGTTTCCATGTGATCAGTATAAATGGAAACTCATAGGAAAACTGAAATGGGATTAGATCAAGACTTTTTAAATTGTTTGTGGCTTACATACAACTTTCAGTTATTTCTAAATTACAAAAAAAAAAAAAAGTTAGGAAAAAAATTTGAAAAAAAAATGAAATTAGTGATCAATTGTCTTAATCAAAGCAAATCATAGCAAAGTTCCCATTTGGATGTACCGGTGAGATACAATTAACACTCAAAAAATCAACAATTGTATCCAAATGTTATTTCAATGAGACACGTGTAACTAATTTATCGTACCACATTCATAGTTTGTCATTGGACCTGTTAGGTTCAGTAGATCCTTTTTTTTTTTTTTAATCATAGCTTTAATTTTTAAATTTATCCTTATTTTTTGCATTTTTTAGTTCTTGGAATACAATTTAGGGACCACTTTTTTTTTCTTTTTTTTATTCAAAAAATTTTAAATAATTAATCTTGAGGTATAGTATAGAGATAAAATAATTTCATAACTTTTTATTATTTATTAATTTTATAAATATTAAATAATTAAATATTTTTATTACACATATATTTTAATCCAATATCTTTAATAGTCATTTTTTTATCTCAATACAATTTATCTCATTGTCATTATTGTTTTTATATTCAAATGCATATCTCTTTACTAATTTTAATCTTATTATTATAGTAATTAATTTCACAACTATAATAACTAATTCTATATCCATCGTTGTTTTCAATATTACCAAAATTAATTTCATCACTCATTCGAATAGACCAAATCAATGTTTGAAAAAAGATAAGGGCTTTTTTAAAAAAATGTAATTATCATAATTTTAGGTTGAGACTTGTAACGTACTACAATTTTATTTAATGAAATGAAGCCTTGAATCCAGCATCTCATAATGTTCATATATATATATATATTATATATATATTATTTTATGAGATATAATCAACCAATACACTAATCATTGAATCATAATCTCAATCTCATCTAGATTAGTAATTATTCAATAATTATCATAAAATTTTAATAAATTTCAGTTTGATTGGTGTTTTTACTTTTTATTTTATTAAATAATAAAATACAAAATAAACTGAATAACAAAAAACAAAAATAAAAGCACCAAATCAAACAAAACCTTCATTTTAAATTAATTTGTGATTAATCAAAAGTAAAATTATTTATCAATTGATTAGTCAAGAATACATTAATTAATACTATAATTTTAAGAGTCAATTATTTCATAAACAAGAGGAAAAGGCAAGAAATAGACTTTGAATGCTAAACATAGCATCACAGACTCAGCACTTACAAACTTTGATCAATCAAAGTTGCTTTTGATAGATCCTTTATTACCAATAATAATAATAATAATAATAATAATAATAATAATAATAATTATTATTATTATTATTATTATTATTATTATTATTATTATAGCTCCAATAGTGTAATATACATATAAAAATAATGTGTTTATAATTGTTGAAAATGAGCATAAAAATTGTAGTTCTAATTATAAAGATTGTTGGACCACCTAAAGTTAAAAAATGTGCTAAATAAAGAGGCATATAAACATATAAAATTAAAAGATGTCTAAGGCTTTAATTAAAAAAAAATACTAACTACTAACTCAAATTAAAATGAAAAAAAAATCTAGAAAAATATCCAAGCCAATACTTAGCTGGAAAAATAGCTCAACTAACTACTGTCACCAAAGTTTTCATACTAATTTAAGCTACTATTTATTATTACACCTCAACCTGCTTTTCAGGCTCTTAAATTCTAGAAAATCATGCAAATCTTGTCCCTACTCATCCATTGAACCATATTGACACTCCTACAACTACAATTATTATTTATTTCATAATGCAAAACATTTCTATCATATAAGTCTTAAATCCATTGAGTATGACACTAAATTGATTATTTGTATTGAAGAAACAAACATACACATGCACATGTGCACTCATAAATTAACTTTTTATTTTCGTGTATACAACTTTTATAAACAAGCTTATCTTAATTTGATCCATATTTGTAGTGAAAGAAACAATTTTTTTTTTTTTTAGGAAAAAAAGGTTAAAGAGTATAATTTATAATTGAATAGATTAGCTTGATAAAGGAAGCCTAGGCTCTCCAAGGGTACATGGATGGAAAATTAATGTTATATCATGTAAATTGTTCTAGAGATTAATTTTTTGACAATTTTAAATATAAAAAAATATAGTCAAAAATCCTTTGAAAAATAATTAAAGGGAAACGTCTTTAAGTGAAAGCTATGAAAGAAAGAAACAATAATTGGCAATCTATATTTAAGGAATTTTGATTGGCCTTATTAATGTTTGAAGTGTTAAAATCTTGACTTAAAGATCCTTGTTAGAGCTTATCAAAAAAAAAAAAGGGGGGGGGGGGGGCAATTTTTTTTCTCTAAGTGGGGTATTTCCTTTGAATGTTCTTATAATTTTTTTTTTTGGCTTTTTTAATTCGAAGCTTTATTTTTTTAATTCGAAGCTTTATTATTGCTTCGTACCTATTGCTTGCTTGCAGCCACTTTTTCTGTTTAGTTTAATGAAGTTGCTTATTCTATTTTTGTTTGGCATATTTTGAGCATTTTAAAATTTTTTTACAAGAATTATTAGTAAAGTTTAAGATCATATTTTATGCATAAAATTATGGATAAAATAAAATGATAATTATTGTCATAACGTCTAGATCCGAAGACCTATCGTTAGACATTTTTTTTAGGAGTCGCCACCAATCTTTTTTATCTATGTGCGATTGATTACTTAAAGAATCTATCCTTTTAAGGAATACCTAAGCCTAAGGGTCTCTAAAATAATAGGTTCAGGTCTACTAACCAGAACAGGTTTCGGGAGTACGGTTGCATGTGAGAAAGATTATAGCACACTCACAACGCCCATCGAAATATGGTACCATCTTAATTTTATATTATCCAATAAGCCTTAAAAATTTACCAAATGATTAATTATTAAAAATTATTCTCAATTGACTCTAATACTTTTAGCAAAAAATTGAACAAATTTTCTCACCTCAAGAGTATGCAAGGAGACTACTGTTTCACTTGCAGAGGCTTTATCGTCGAATTATTTATCATTAAAGAAAATTCAAGAAACAAAAAGAAAAAGAAATAAAACGAAAAAAAGAAAAAAATTTATTCAACTTTAGGTATAAATCCTTTTCTCTTCAAAAACTCATTGCTTTTGTACAAGAAAAATTGATATTTTCAACTTTTCCTCGAAAATATTTTCCTGAGACTTTAATTTCGAATAAAATTGATATTTTCAACTTTTCCTCAAAAATATTTTTTTTTGGAATTTTATTTAAAGAAATTCAAAAAAAAATAAAATTAAAGATAAAAATAAAAATAAAAATAAATAAGAAATACTATATAATTCTAATCTAATCAATAAATAATAATAATAATGATAATGATAATAATAATAATAATAATAATAATAATAATAAATAAATAAATAAATAAAAAGAAAAAAAAAACTTTTTGAACGGCTCAGCTCGACTGAGAAACGGCTTGACTCAAGATAGAAAGGGCGGCTCGAAGACGTGACTCGAGGACGTCGGCTCAGCTCGGCTTGGCTCGGCTCCAGGGGTTGGGTCAACGCAGGTTAGTCGCAGGTTGGCACTCGGGTCGGGTCGTCTGATTTCAAAACGCGCGGATCATGAGATTTTCTTAAGCTCAAAACGACGTCGTTTTGGAAAGCTATAAAAAGCTAATTTCAGCCTTTCCCAGCAAAACCCTCTTCTTCCCTCTCTCTCTACTTCTCTTTTTCTCTCCCTCTCTCTCTAC